TCGTAAGAAATACATCGGGATTTTGATAGCCTGAGGGGCAAAGCCCGAGGACTTTTTAATTGAATTGGGGCGTATACACAAAAAATACTTAGTTTTGACACATCCTTATTAAGTCCATCCATTATTAACGGAGGAGTAGTGTTTTGTAGAAATCACCTTCACGTATTAAATATAAGGATGATAGCATGACATGATAATATGATAAGTAAACTGTTGTAGTTTGCTTGTTTATGAACATAGCAGCTGGTAGCAGAGTACCCGTTCTTTGTACGGGGTTGGCATTTAAGTATAAAATGCTTATTACAGTTATACTCAAGCTTTGGTTGGTTTGCAATGGGGGAGGACGCAGTTTGATAAAATTTTGTTCTTTAAATTTACAGTATGCTATAGTGTAACTTAACACATCTTCCATAGCCATACTCTTCTACCACTGCACCTAAACAATAGAAATAAAAAATTATCAAACATTCACACAATATCACAAATCTATATATCTAATTCCGTAAGCCCAAAATTTTACTATGAAATTTTGAGCAAACGGAAGGCCATAGAAAGCTGGGAGAGGTCTCATTTTAAAGGTCTGGGCATGAAATTTTGGGGAAAATTATTCATTTTTCTTAATCGTGCACCAAAATGTTGCTACGGAATAAAATAATTTACATTTAAATAGCATGGGAATCTAGGTCATGTCTGCTTTGTTTACTTTAAAACATGTGGTTTAACTTTATTTAAAGCATATGGTAATGTAATATCATTACTGTAATATGTGTACTATTTATAAAGCTGAAATAAACTTTTTCCCAAATTTAAGGGTCTGGATTTAATGCGATTGGTTGTGTTAGGTATGTCTGAAATAAGTGTAAAGATAGAAGTAATTACTGGAGTAGGCAAAGTGAACATATTTTTCATGCCAAAAATTAAACTAATATCTACAGATCCTAATATGCCGTTTAAGTTTACAAGGATTCAATGCCCATTGCAAATAGCTTTCACTGCTATTATAAATAAAGTGCAAGGCCAAACCTTCAAAAAAGTTGGCATTTATTTGAAAAAACCAGTGTTAACATACACAAATGTTAAACGATAATTCAAGGTAGGGTAACCCATGAGACTAATACATGTAATTTATACAAAATAGTTACTAGAATATACATAATAGGGGCTATTGCCCCTACAAGCCACTAGTCTTTAAATCTAATTCCGTAAGCCCAAAACTTTACAATGAAATTGTGAGCGAACAGGGCAGGCCGTAGAAAGCTGGGACAGGTCTCATTTTAAAGGTTTGGGCGTGAAATTTTGGGGAAAATTATTATTTTTTCTCAATAATGCACTCAAAGGTTGATATGGAATAAAATAATTCACATTTAAATAGCATGGGAATCTAGGTAATGCCTGCTTTGTTTACTTTTAAACATGTGGTTTAACTTAATCTAAAGCATATGTAATATCATAGACTAACCAACACAAGTAGACTTCTCATCCCATTGTAAATTTTGAAGCTCGTTTTTCATGTCTAGTTCATGTACGCCACACTGGGCGCTAGTGTCGACGAAATTTTGTTTCTATTATTTTAGGGTTAATTTCTTGATTTGTGCTTTACTGTTTGGTTAAATAACTAGGGGACAATTTATTGTTTATGATTAGATTGTATTGTTTGGCTAAACGAGGTTTTCAATGACTGTATTAACGGGAAACAAATTGTAAACAAAACACGACCTCTACATAAACCGTACATGAACTAACAATAAAATTGTCTTCAGCTGTTCCATTAGGATGAGAAATCTACTAAGGGAGTATGTTTTATCTATGATAATATGTACTTTAATATGTATACTATTATCATTGACTAATTATTAGTCAAAGCTCATGGTGGAAATTTCCTTCCACCATGGGTCAAAGCTATTATAAAGCTGAAATATACTTTTTCCAATTGTATGTCTTTTAGTGTAAAAACAAAATAAGGAAATAATATAAGTCAAAAAATGTAAAATATAATATAATGTAGACTGTTTTTATTATAAACACACCGCATGAACAGTCCTTTGGAATTTTTATTTTAAACAGAAAACAGAGCAGACATCAAAATGCATTATGCAGGTATGTAATAACTATTATACATATTATATAATACAAAAATGTTAAACGATAATTCAAGGTAGGGTAACCAATGAGACTAACAATTTGTACAAAATAATTACTAGAATTTATATATATATAGGGGCTATTGGCCCTACAAGCCGCTAGTTATTCATTAAATACATAAACATATAGTAACTACAAACAATCTTACTTTGACAGACCTCATATTGTATCACAGCTTTTTGATGCTGATTGCTGATTAAATTAGTTAAAATTAGCTGTAATTGTCATAAATGCAAAAATAATAGTGCTGCACTCTGTTGGCAAACCTATAACTTGTAATGCTATTGCATAACATAGAGCCAATTTTGTTTAGTTTAAACAGCTGACTAAATTCTTTAATTCCTTTTAAATATGAAGAGATTTTATTCACTGGATGTCCCCCACAAAGATTCCAATCCAAGGTTCTAAGACACATTCTCCAGGCACCATGGTTCGTTAACAACGAAGTGCTCCATAGAGACAGTCGAACCCCAACGATCAAAGAAGAAATTTCAAGGTTAATTAAGTGCCAAATACTTAAAGAAATTAGAGTACCATCCCAACTACCTTGCTTTGAATTTGTTGGACAACAGCAACTGTATTATATAGATTGAAAAGATGCCATGTTTTGGACCTGAGTAGTCGTTTTTAGAGATTTATGAACTTTAAACTTTGTACCATTATGCAAAGTTTGTGTGTTAGCTTTATTGTTGGATAAAGACTACCTAACTACTGTGTTTAAATTTTATCATATTTGCTTATTGTTCTATTTTTGTTGAATAGATTGTAAATTAAATAAAATGTAAAAAAAATATAAGGAGGTTAACATGGGGAACTGTAGAGCCACTGTGGTGGAGCCCGAAAGGATTTTTGAGATAAGAATAGACCTATATGTTAATCGGGAATGTGAGCTATCATCATGCCAAATTTCAGCCAATCTGTCCAGTACCTAGTTAATGCGTGATTGAACTTCAAACAAACAAATCAAACAAAGTACAAACATACAAACTTTCACATTCATAATATTAGTAAGATTTTGATCAAATTTGTTTTATGCAATTTTTTACCCCAATTATTAATTTTATTAATTTTATTATTAATTTTATTAATTTTTACCCCATAAATAATCCCCGTTTCCATAGCTTAATCACACTGGTTCGCCAACTCATTCAAGTTTATCCCGCCCTACACCTGCAAACCAAATTTCATCTAAATCGGACAAAAATTACTCAAGTTTTTGTGTTCTCGGACACACACACATAAATGTAAATTCGAACGAATAGTGTTTTTGGCTTCTAGGAATATCAAAATAAAAAAGTAACTTATATCGGCCCCGGGTCTAAGTCCTACCATGCCACCTACGGTAATAGTTACTTCCTTATGGGGAAATTTGCTAAAACCACCTTTTGGGTTCAGGGGGGCCCAAAATGGATGTATCCACTCAAAAATCATACTCAAAAATGTTTAAATACTTTCATCGCCATATACTATGGTAGGGGAGAAAGTTCAAATCATCCAACTAAATTAACATTGTTACTATACAGTGTCATAGATTTTTTAGTACTCTATTAACAGTTTTTCAAGAGCAAACCAGATGGCTCAGCTCAGCTGGTGTTGGTTGTGCACATTATGTGCTACTAACTAGCTAGTTTTGTGGCTAACTCAACTTAAAAAAGGTGTCATATTAATTGAAACCCGGCAACTATAGCTTGTTTTGAACCCTGCAAATGGACAGTCTTGAAAAATTTTAAAAATACAATTAGACCTGTGTTTACATTTGTATCCAGTTTTCATAGTGAAATTTAAAAGGGAATAAGCAACTTTTGCCACTTATTGAAAATCCAAAACGGAAATTCACTTAGTCTGCAGGTTTGCTGCTGCAGGAGTATTTTGTTTCTCTTATCATTGGTAAATGTATTATATAAACGTTAACCCCTTGAGCTATGGAACAGGTAAAGTGACACCTTTGAATATTAATAGAAGAAAATATTTTATCCCCGTGTTATGGACGTAGGCTAGTTGAGCCACCGACAGAGTGTGTTCTGATTGTAAATAATTGATTTATGTCCAATACATTAATCAATTCAAACTGATAGGACAACTTTATAATACAACATATTTTATGTCACATCAACTACTAAACTAAAGAATAAAATAGAACTTGCTTTGGCAGTACCGGTAGTGCTTTATGTCGAGCGGCATATTCAACAATGTTCTTTTTGAATAGAAAAAAAATACTGCTGGTCCATGTAGATAGGATACATAACTACTTCAGTAATCAAAAGTCATTGATAAACTAAAATGTACCATATTGTTTGAACCTGTGAGTTCCATAAAAAAACACCCCTGCTGTACAAATCAAGGGTAGTTGTTCTGCTAGTTTAGTATCGTCATAGATAAAACAAAACATACTCCCTTAGTAGATTTCTCATCCTTATGGAACAGCTGAAGACAATTTTATTGTTAGTTCTGTACGGTTTATGTAAAAGGTTGTGTTTTGTTTACAATTTGTTTCCCGTTATTACAGCCATTTAAAACCTCGTTTAACCAAATAATACGATATAATCATAAACAATAACTTGTCCCCTAGTTATATAACCAAACAGTAAAGCACAAATCAAGAAATTAACCCTAAAATAATAGAAACAAAGTTTCGTCGACACTAACGCCCATGTGTCACGTACATGAACTAGACACGAAAAACGTGCTTCAAAATTTACAATGGGATGAGAAGTCTACTTGTGTTGGTTAGTCTATGGTATCGTTAAGTTATAAAAGTCTACATGCAGGTTCTATCAATATTTCATGCTATTGTACTGTACAAACATTCATTAATTTGTTTATAACTGTTGATTATTTGTTTAAATCATATGTTTGATACTTTTAAATTATTGTAAGCAATTCAAGTCTTTAAAAATCATGTAAAATTTTCCAGTTCATTTTGGTTTTATCAAGAAAACACAAGATAAATTTTAAATATTACAGAAATTATATATAATTACTTATTTGGTAAGTAATTTATTTATAGGTAGACGAAAAATAAGCAAAACTTTATTAATATGGAAACATGCATAAACCATGTTGTTGTGGGACATTGATACAAGATTCCAAAGATGTCCTACCTACCTATCTTATTTTCAAAATCGCCTAAATGTAATTTCAGGTCGGTTCTTTACTTTTTTCTTATCTGTAATTTTAGGGAATTTCCAATATAGGGAATTAGCTATTGCCGTAGGTGTCATGGTAAGACCTGGCCCCGAGACATGTACAAATATATGTGTGTTAGTTAGCACGATAACTCAAGCAAAAATGATCCGACTTTAATCAAACTTGATATAAACGTGTAAACCAGTGTAAGCCTACATTATTTATTCAATCAATGAGTTGGCGGACCTGCATGATCCGACTATGGGAACAGGGGTTTATAGGGGGTAAGAATTGGGTTTTCCCATTTTGACCCTAAAATATAAAATGTTGCAATCTCTTTCTAAACTGTTTTGTAGAGCTTGAAAGAGTAATAATTAATAATTTGGCAAATTGAAGGGGTTATGTAGGCCTATGCCTAGCAATAACGGAGCAAATTCTATAAAGGTGTAGTAAATTTAAAATTCCCATTTTATTCTTATAGAGAATAAATAAACTGTTGTAGCAATGTTAGCATTGTTTATGGAAATATTTTAATCAAATTTGGCAAATTGGTTTATATCATACTTAAGCTAACTTATCAATTTTAATCAATAAAAAAAGCACACATCATCCCTGTGGCAGCAAACCCAAACCCATAGGTACACATTAAAAAGTAATTTTATTTAAAAAGGAAATAAATCCAACAATTTTAAGGTAATATGATTTGTGGAAATCCAGCCAGGTAAATGGATTCACAGGGGTGGCGGAATTGTACCCTCCTGGAATTGTACCCCCTGCAGGCTAGTGACGTCACGATGACGTCTCATTTTCTCAACCAAAACGGCGTGTACGGGCTGGAATTGTACCCCCCTCATAAAACTTTGATATTGTTATGCACGAGTGGATTGATTAAATCCACTGGCATCTAAAAAACTGTACGGACCGGAATTGTACCCCCCTGGAATTGTACCCCCTCTGTTAGAACTCACTTTTATTTGGCCAGTGTACGGGGTGGAATTGTACCCCCCTGGAATTGTACCCCCCGTCAGTCTAGCCCTTCTTATAGGACCGGAATTGTACCCCCTGGTGACCACAGAAGAAGATGTACGGCCCGGAATTGTACCCCCTGGAATTGTACCCCCTCCCCCCATTTCACCCAGGAGCTTGTCTATTGTGATTATACCAAGTAAAATCAAAACAATTAATAGTTATGTTGGATATTAGAGGGGAATCACACGAAAGTGAACTGAACCAAGTTACCCGACACCTAATGAATTGCTTGTTGTCAAAGGATATTCTTAGAAACTGCAAATTAAGGCCATTCCGAGTAACATGCGAGAGGCCTAACAGACTTCTTTGTACGTTATTCATTAATATTTTCTTAACCTTCCCAAGTACTAACTGTTCATAGGTTAGCTTAAATTCACAAAGGTTAAAACTTTGACAAACTGTGAAATACTTTGTACCAGATTCCTACAACTAAATTTTACAACAGGTATTTTGTCCACCTTTGCCAGAGTGCTAGAGACTTGAAATTTTGTGGTATTGAAATATGGGGTCTTATATAGATTAACGGTGAAATTTGCAAAAGTCCTATTTTCAAATTTTAACCCCCTCAAAAAATCTAAAATACCTCCTAAAACTAAAAAAAACATGTTTTTTAACGACTATAGCTCTAAAACAGTAAGAGCTAGAAAATATTTTAAAGAATTTTCATGGTCAGGAATAAAATTTTCAACAAAACACTAATAAACATTTTTCGAAAATCACACTCCTTCACCCTCTAAAAACGCCCTACTTTTAAAATTTGGTAAATTTCTTTCAAATATATTATGAATTTTGCAATTTTTTCTACCTAAGAATTTTTTTTGTGTAAATATTATTAATGATTTGTATTTAGCTTAGTTTACTTTTAAATTCTACTCTTTACATGTTTTTTCATAACTTTACTCCTTGAACTCCAAAACTTAAGTTGAAAGATAAAATTTGAAAGGTTTTTACCACTTTTACAAGCCCCATGTTATTCTTATGGAGAACTAGCTGGCCCGACAGACGTCGTCCTGTCCTAATGTGGTTTTATGTCAAATGCTTGTTCATTTTCATGATCCTGGTTGAAGATGGTTCGCTACGCTCACTCACCTTTAGGTTGGAGCTCGTTCGCTGCGCTCACTTGCCTTCAGGTTAGCTCGTTCGTTACGCTAACTCGCCTCCAGTTTGAAGTTCGTTCGCTACGCTCACTCACCTTTTGGTTGCAAATTAGCTGTTGTCATAAATAAAAAAAAAAAATCGTACTGCACCCTGTTGGTAAACTTATTAACTTTTCAATGCTATTGAACATCACAGAATCAAATTGCTTAGTTGAACCAGCTGTTAAGAGTCTTTAATTCCATTTAAATATGAGTACTCATAAGGTTAACATGGGAAACCCCAGAGCCACTGGGGCGGAGCCCTTTTGATGGATCTGCACCAAACTTCACACAAACCATCCTTCAATAGTGCTTAATAATGCCTGAAAGTTTCATTACAATCTGTCGAGCGGTTTCGGAGTCCATAAAGGACAAACAAACAAACAAACAAACATACATACATTGGATTTTATATATATAGATAACTATGAAATTTAAAGACTTTGGTATGCTCATCTGATTCGTTTAGAAACGTGCTAGAGACTTGACATTTGGGAGTATTGTAGTATGGGATCCTTAATTAACGGTGAAATTCCCACAAGTCCCATTTTAAAATTTTTACCCACCCAAAAATCCAAAATGACAGACATCTAAATTTTTTTTTTTTTTTTTTTTTTTTTTTTTTTTTGAAAAAGAGGTTGGCGGCCTCTTTTAACCTTGCATTTGCCCGTCCACATAGACTAAGCACCCGTGCGTGGATCGTTTACAGCAAAGCAAGGAGTGAGCCGGTACAGTACAAAGGTGAACTGTACTGATAAAATGTTATCGGCAGTGACCAGGATCCGAACCCACGACATCGCTGCCTTGGGCCCGAAGTCCGCGACGGTACCGACTGAGCCACCGACTCACCAAATACCCCTGCCGCAGCAAACCTGCAGACTAAGCGAATTTCAACTTGTCTGATTACATAGGCTTATTTACTAAAATATTTCCATAAATAAGAAATATTTATTCCCAATTTAAATAACATTTAAATAACCCAATTTAACGAGTGCTTAGGTTTGCTGCTACGGGGAAGGTAAACAGTGTTTTTTGACCAAACGTCAATAGTATAGGATGAGTTAAATAAATTTGCCAAATTTGATCGAAATACATCCATAAACAAGTCAACCACAACAGTTTTCATTTTCTCCATAAGAATAACATGGGAATTTTAAATTTGCCCTTTTTTGAATTTTTTCCATAACCCTTAGGCATACAACAATGCTTCAATATACTAAATTATTTCTTTTTTTATTCTCTACAAAATGGTTGGGAACGAAATTCCAAAATTTTATGTTTTTAGGGTCTAAAATGGGAAAAACCCATTTTTACCCCATAAAACCCCCCATAAAACCCCCATAAACCCCCGTTCCCATGGTCCGATCATGCTGGTTCGCGAACTCATTCGAATAAATGTAGGTTTATACGTTTATACTAAATTTCATCAAAATCTGATAATTTTTGTTCGAGTTATCGTGCTAACGGACATATATATATATATGTATTTAAACGGATGGTGTTTTTGGCCTCTGGGGACCTCAAAACAAAAAGTAAATCGGTCCCGGGTCCAGGTCTTACCATGAGAGCTACGGTAATAGCTTATTCCCTATATGGGAAATTTGCTAAAAGTGAAATATATATATAAATGAATATAAACGGCAAACGGATGGTGTTTTTGGCCTCTAGGGACCTCAAAATGAAAAATTAAATCGGTCCTGGGTCCAGGTCTTAATATGAGTACTACGGTAATAGCTTATTCCCTATGGAAAATTTGCTAAAAAAAAAAAACACGTTTTTTTAAACGGCTATAACTCAAAAACGATAAGAGCTAGAAAAGATTTTACAGAATTTTCATGGGCAGGAGTTAAATTTTATACAAAACTCTATTTGGCGTTTTCCAAAAATCACACCACTAAACAAACCCTACTTTCAAAAATTGGTAAATTTGGTTCAATTTTTGGTTTTCGCTACTCTTTCCTAACTAATACATTTTTTTTTTTTTATTATTAAGGCTTTTTACTCTTCTTAGTTTATTTTAAATACTACTTATTACACGTTTTTTTGTAGGTAGCTTATCTCCATCACCCCTGAAATGTAAGATTAATGTCAACATTTGAAAGATTCTAACACTGTTACGATGCTATAACAGTTTCCCATGTTATTCTTATGGGGAATAAGCTTGAAAGTGACTTACTTCGGCGTTAGTTTCTTAACCATTTAGAAACGTGATAGAGACTTGAAACTTTAACCCCTGGAAACTATGACATGGGTTTTTACACTCACCTAGGCCCCCATCACCAAAATAAAAAGTCAATTTAAAAGAATCTTTTACTTACATTCAATATCAAGGGAGTTAAAAGCGGTTTGCCGATTAATGTTTTTCGCAACTTTGCACCCTTATCCCTAAGTTGTCAACCACCCCTGGAGGCGATAACATGGGCTTTTACACTCATTTAGGCCCCCATTACCAAAATCAAATGTCAAAATCTCTGACTCTTTTCATGCATACTCAACTGCACCTAGCGCCTGTACGATTAGTGACTGTAAAGATCCGAGTGTCTCCGACAGAGGGTCCCATTGGAGCCTTTTAGTGTTTGATAGTAAGCGGCTCAAAACATATAATTTTGACTCACAGGCTTTTAAACAATGTGCCGCTAAAACTTTCGCACGTAATCTTGGTTTCATTGAAGACTCCTTTGTCCAAGTCCATTGTTC